CGTCGCAAAAAATAAAGCCAAAAAATATGAGCCAATCAACGAGCATGCTATAGACAGACAGTGAAAATATGTCTTAACCAATGTCCCTTAAACACAAATATATATACAACATACATTAAATAGATTCATAACAATTTTATAGGTAAAACAAATAGCAGACATTTGACGGGTATTTTTTTAAAGTTACTATTTTAAAGTGCCAAAAAACTAAAAAGACAATCAAACCGTTTATTTTTTAAAAATTTTTGTTATAATTTCTCTCGACGGATTTCTTTTCCATTCCAAGATTTGCTTTACACTTCTTTGTTATAAAAGGTAATATTGATTTGAAAACTATTGTCAATTGTAACTCAACAAAAATACGAAGGCAAAACAAGCTACACAACAAATTATTTCTTAGTAACTGATTACTAAAAGAGAACTTGAACAGCATGAAACATGTATCTCAATCGCCAGGAATAATAAATTCATGTCTCAATTAAAGACAGCAGCAATTTAAGCGTTTAACTGATTTACTGCACAAAATGGATGAAAAGCATTTTATTACCTTGTTTTTCCTTGAGTTAAATAAAGTGCTGATGTTTCTAAATAAAAAATTTTGCCATTTCATGTTAAAATGTTAAATTCTGCTAGGTGACATGGACTGTAATCTGCACTTGACCGTACCGTTCATGGATAGGCTCATTCAAACCGAGCCTGCAACATTTTCAATTTTGCCGTTTCGAACTTTCTTTAGGGGTTCTTATTTTCTCTAGTTTCTTTGGTTATAAGCAGCATGCAGAATTTGTTGTTTGTTTGTGCTAAAGTTTTCAAAAACGACTTTGGAATAGTATAATACAGGTGCATCATTAAATACACTGACAACAAGCCTTAATCAATATAACTAACTAGTCTTCAATGTATCTAAAATATTCCCATACTGCATTAGGAAATGGTTGAAATGGCGAGTACACATTTATCCTACATGCGCTAAATAAACTGCAACACAAAATGTTATCAATCGTCTTTCTTTTTTCTCAGAATTCAAAACGTAAAAAAGAAGTATTACACAAGTGAAGATTTGGTTACCTGTTTTAAGAAATTATTCATAATTATTCATTATATTATAGCTGGAAATAGTGTAGAACATCATATTTATTATTTTATTTGTGAGTATTTATAATAATCACATCATTTCTCTATAACTCAACAAGTTTGGCACTAATTCTGTTCTGTCTTCGACATTCTCATAATCATTACATAGATCTCGAGATTGTTTCCGCTATCAGGACAGATATACCAATTAATTTACTGACTGAAAACTTTAAAGATTAAACTGTGAACATGCTGATTATAGAATAGCTTGCAGAATTACAACTTCTGAGAACAGTTGAAATATATTTAGTCAAATGGATAAAATAGATTATTTGAAGTTCAGGTCAAGTGTACTTCAATATATTGAAATATCTTACAATCATTTTCTTTCTAAAGCTTGATTTTTGTATTAAGAAATGAAGAATGTGTATGCCGGTTTAACCTGGCTATAACAAACATTATCACACCTAACCATTAGTTATAGCATTATCTTGCCAACTTTTCCATGATGAATTGCATCACATTCTTGTTGTTTTTCTTTTAAACAAAAACATTATTTTTGATGTAACGAGTATGCACTTCAACAAAAGTATTTCCTATGGAAGAGTGTCTGCAAGTATGGCAGTGTCAGAGCGGATTTTATGATCATCAAATCAAACCACACCCGCTTGAATTATTTTAAAGGAAAAATAACTATATGCCATATTTTATAAACTGTTTTTTAACAACTTAAAAGAAAATATTTTGAAAGCTTTGAAGACTAATATTGAAAGTACATTTCAACCTTAAACTTGAGAACAGGTTTAAAGTTTTAAACGTTCAGCTTATATAAACTAATATAGATATGTTTAAACCAGAAAAAAGTAAAGTGGCGCTATTGCATAGTTCGTGCAGTAATTTAATTGAAATGTTATATGTTTTTCTTTCCCTTTGCCGTCTTTTAATTTAACATAATAAATGAAAATTAAGTAAACAAAAATTCACGAAAAAGTGTAAAATTACTGAGACACTGAGACCATCGTGATCTAAATATTATTTCTGTCATAAGGTACTTATTCTATGAAATCTTGCCATATGAAGTAATGATTTTTCCCCTAAAACAATTTTGATTAATAATTTTCATTTCATCTTGCATATATATATATCTAGAAACTGCAAAATGTCTTTGAGCCAATGGTGAAGTTACCGGCTATATGACAGCATATTTAATAACAAAATATGGCATTTGTAGATTGTAGAAATATATTTTTATTTCTTTATGGAATATTTGAATATGTCGGTTTATGAATGTTTGATGATAAAAAGCAAGAAACAAAATTAATGTCCTTCATTCTGGCCATTAAATGTCATAAAGATATTAATAGTTTTTTTCATAGCAACATTTAGCGTAAATACATTATTTTTTTTAAAGATTTTATCAAATTAACTTTATCTTAACAGCAATAACAATAAAATAGCAGACGTTTTTTTCTCTTACACATTTCATAAAAAGCGGGAATATTTCCTTTCTATGCGTAGATACCAAAGATAAAATATCATCATTAGATGAAAAGAGACTCAAGTTAATTAATTTGTGAAATGATATTGTTCCACTTTTCAAAGATTAAAAACAAAAACAACATTAGTAATCTATCATATGCTTTGATAGCTAGTTACTTGCGAGATTTGTTTCTGTATGAAGCTGTCGAGCTGAATATACTTCTTGTAATTGATTAGGCAATAAAACATCCAAATTTTGCGCAGGATGTACCCCAAGAAATAAATGGAATTGAAAAAAATTACTTTACTATTCAAATTGTTGTTACATGTAGCAGTTTGTTCTGATTCATTTACTTTGTAGTTTATTACCTTAATCGTTGTTTAAGTTTTGTACTTGTCGATGCTGTTCATTGTGATTGAAATATATAATTTTCTGTCCCGATTCAATAGAATATCTACTGCTTGTTATAAAGTTGTTAATATATTTAAAGGTCAATTGCGAAAACGATACGACGTAGTTTTATATTAATGAATTAAATATTTTGTTTCAGTAAAACAAATTTATTTGCACTACAAAGACGCGCTAAATCATGTGATCAGTTATAGGTTATGACAATTGTTCCCTATTAAAATTGAATATACGAAGCACTTATAAATTTTTCTTCAAGTTCTTAGTATGTGTTCGTTGTTTAATAATTAAGTTGTATATTTTTGTGAAAAAAAGAACCTAATACATAAATTCACAAAGTAATGCCATGTATGTTATTCTGAAATGTTTGTCTGTTGCGACAACGATTGAAAGGTCTGGTGGAAGCAAAATAAATTGTATTACAAGTAAAAATGAAATGATTGGTACACTTATAAGAAAGTGATGAAATCAAGCGTCTTAAAATACTGTTTACAATTCACATTACTGGGAGCTTAGGTATAGAATCATTAAATGTAATAAAAAATCTAAGCAAAAGACAACAATTGTCACATAATCCTTCAAAAAAACTATGCAAATATCTGTGATACATTTTTTTTAAAAACTTACTTTTTAATAAGTAAATCTGTTTTATACATTAACTTAAATGTTAATAATGTTCATGAATCGTTGTGCCTGTTTTGCAAAATATGTCTGTTGCGCCTGTTGCGCCCATCAAATCTCCTTTGCGTAATTTAGTCATTCCTCTTGTTCCCCCTCCAAATTTGGTCCCCGTCATTAGAATAAAGACTGGCTCATTGATACGTTATTTATTAGGTAAATAAAAGATAGATAAAAATAAAAAAAATATGATATTCAAACATGGTACTATCATTTCAGTTAAACGTTTAACATTTTGAATCGTTAAAACTCGGTGACATGTGTTGTACATCAGGAGAAAAAAAACTATTTTTATAAGAGAATCTGCAAACAGTGTCTGTTTGTTCATAGACAAAAGCAAGACTAAAAGTTCCCCATGACTGATGGACTTATTTACAGAAATATTAGAACACAAAATTAGAAGTGGACAATGTGTTAGTACGTGAACTATCACTGCAATAATTATCAAATTTTCTGTATCTTTTGTTTCAAAATTTTGGTTGATACTTGCTAAAAATCATTATATGCATAATTAAGGAAATGTCCAATTGAGTGGTGCATCTTTTGAATACGGACAATTAATGAATGTGATGTTTGATTATATTGTTAATATCAATTATTTGTAAATTTTAATAGAATAATTCTCAGAAATAATTTTAAATCAACCAAAATCACTAATGGGTCTGAATTATTTAATTAATTACTTTTTATTATCTCGATCACATTTTATGTCCTTCTCAACATCATTGAAGATCTCATTAATATGTCTCCAATCATCCCTCCATGTATGTGTGCACACAAGTTTCTTTCTGCCCCAGCAACTTCACAAGTTGTACCTGGTCGGACATATAATCCATTCATATTAACGTATGTACATGTATCATGCCACCAGCCTCCGTGTCGAAGAACAGCACAGTTAGCTTCTCCGTTGTTATCTAGGTCACGGTCAAAAGTTGTAAACGGAGATAAATTATTGTACAGAAACGCATCTTCTTCCATGTTGTCTGAAAGTGGGAAATAATATTTTCACTGTATGATGCCATATTTAGCCTGTTTTAGTATATTTGACAATTTTAGTCAAATAGTTGGACATAGAAAGGTTCCCAAATTTAACAAAATCATTAAAACTGATTGTTACATATACAAGCTAATCTTATTTTGTTTACATGTGTTTCTACTCGTTGTTTGTTTATATAAGTCAATGCCCAGAGATAAATGTATAGCTAATATTACAAAATAAGTAAGGAGAAAATTGATTTATTCAGGACTTTTATGTCAAAAGTATATTTGTTTAGTACATTTATCATATATTTATTTAGTACATTTTATCTTTCATTCTGTAACCATCAACATTCGTATAAAATTCTTTTTGTACCTGATGCGTCGCCTGACCCAATGTTGAGTTTATAGTCTGTTCCATCTGTTAACTTAAATTCCTGAAAGGTCTCATACCCTGTTTGGTTGTTAAGATTTGTAACATCAATGCGGACTTCTGAATGATCTTGGTTAGCTAATTCTTGTATGAACTTCAGACCTATGGTACGTAAACCAGTGACACATAAATTACTATGAATGCAATGTGTGCGTAACTATCATGAACATATCGAAAATACCACATCGTCAAAACTAAATGCAAAAATAAAACAAAGAAAAACAACTTAAAATGAAACAAAAAATCAAATATTGTGACACACACAAAAATCTCGTAATAATAAATTTTACAGCCTATTCTTTATGTACGCAAACTGATTCATTTTATACACGACGATCTTGTTATTTTCTATTATAAGACATAAAGACCAAATCGTCAAATTGAACGAAAATAAAAATGAAACATTTAAAAAAAGGATATATATCTTGACATGCAAGATGTTTTTGTCCAGATTACTTTGACAACTTTTAGCCTTTATACGGATTTATGGTAGGTGAATAACGTAACAATAAAAATTGTTAGCCAATGATAATGTGACGTATGAAAACGATCAAACAATCATTATATTACACATCCCGCATACTCAAAGTCACCTGATATCTAGACAGTCTTGCCCACCAACATGAAAATCTATTTGAACACAACACATTTCATCCTTTTTATTTTTTTTGTATTTCTTTCTTTTTTTTTGCATAGCTAACGTTAAAAAGTACGAATGCCCGCGTACAATTAATGAAATAGCATAATATACAATATAATAACATATATCGTTCAGTTTAGCAAATCATTCAACTTATCTTAAATATAAATATTAAAGTGAACCATAAATTAAACCTAGCCACTGTTCTCCGCCTGCGTTTCCAAACCAATTTTCATGCTCTGTGAAGTTTCGATAAAAATCAATAGACCCGTCAAAGCGCCTATGAAATATCTACAAAAAGTGAAACGATATAAGCACAGTAGAGTAAAAATAGATTAATGAAATTTAAGTAAATTCAAACCAACGTAGTATAAAGTGACAAAACAACATCCAGTTTTATCTTAAACCCTATGAGACGGAAACGGGGTGTTCCATAGAACTATTAAACAATTGATATCAAGTTTGATGGACTGTTCAGATTTAAGAAGTAAACTATTAAACATATAATAAGGATCCTAAGCCGGCTGCCGGTACAGACCGGAATATCTAGCTCGACGGAATATCTAGCTGTTTACGGCCGTAACGAGGCTTGGTAAAGTTTCCACTAAACGGCTAAGAGCTCGATATTCTTGCTTGTGACGATAGCCGGCGTTTGATTCTTTTTCTTGCATATTACAAATTAATGATATTCGAAAAGAAACAACCAAAACTTATATTTTCATTTTCGCACTGTTTTCTTTTTGTAGCGTATGATTTTACAATTTTCAAGTATGCAAAAAACAGAAAAAAAGAAAAAACTATGTTCAAACGATATTTGCTGAACAAAGTTTACATAGGTTTAATACTTTACATACCGTCCAGCCGCCACCGTCAGTTTCCATGTCACAATTCACAATAAGTATCTTTCCAGACTTCCATAGTTCTATCTCATAAAAGCCACTTTCTGCTTCCGGGTATTTATCAAGAATTTCTTTACAGTCGCTCACTAAGCAATAATGATATAACAATAAATAAAACATAACCTAGCTCATAATCTCGAGTCAACAATAACTCATTAAGCAACCAAATATTGCATTGGTGACAAACCCTTTGCGTTCATATTCCCCTTTACATATTAAAAAAATGTATTTTGGCGTTTTTCATTTTGATGTTGTATCGTTTATCAATTAAAATATTTTTGAATTTGTTTAAGCTTAAAAAGCGTAACAGGTTATCTGTAATTACCTATTTGTGTATTTACGAAAATTATACCAATGTGTGTAAATCTCGGTCCGAGTGTGTCCAACGGAGTCATAACTAAACCTTCTAGTTATGGCAACTGACTATTTTGTTTCGGAATATTTAATTCTGTTTGCATAATCATATAATCATAATGTTAGTAAATGGATATAAATAGTTTGCTTATCCACTCACTAGAAATAACCAAAAGAATATAAACAAAATGTATTGGTGAACGTTTTGAATGAAATATTTTGATATTTACAGTCAGTCATAGCTTGATGCACTTAGATATGAATAATTTGGAAAAGTCTCTCGAAAGCAATGAAACAAGAAGGCAACAATTTGAATAGCACAGAATCGGATACATTTTGTATTTTTGTGAGAGATAATGAAATTAACTATATCTTATAAATTAAATTTTTAGAAATATTGATGGACTAAAATGAGTATTTCTATTTCCGTATTTTCACATTAAAAATTTCTTTCTGTAAAAGTGTATGAATTTCATTAAAAAACACATATTCTCGAGCAAACGGTTAAAACATAATTTGTCCGATAGCATTCCGGATTCAATTTTCTACAAGGCTGAAGGGTCTTATTTGTACAGTATGCACAATATGGAGACCAAAGCCCTTACCCAAGCAATATATTCGGGAGAATTCCGTGTGTCGTGTGGAATGGTCTTTTTGGACCGGATATTTGTTCTTTCTTAATACATAAAATATAAAACGTTTGGAAATAAGATAATATTCATGAGCAAACCGTTAAACAACCGTTTCACTTTCTTGTTGCAGGTTCGTTTATATACTAGTTCGAAGAGTCTTCTTTAAACAATATAAGGCCCAAAGCCCTAACTCAAGCAATATGTACGGGATATTTCCGAGCGGCTTTGTCTTTTTCAGACCGACGATTAGTTTTTTTCCTCTATGACCGTAGATCGACTGAAAATTTCAAAAGCAACATCATAAAGACAAAGTGTTTCTGAAAATGAGGTTTACATTATGTCGATCGATCACGATACAGTGGTCTTAAATCATAATAAAAATGTAATTAAATGATGTGTGACAAAAACGCCCTTAAGAGCACGACCTTACAGGAATTTACGTCATGTACAGTTAGCCATTGTAAAATGAATTCAACGTACTTATCAAGTAGACTGTATTACTTTAGAGGATATTTTTCGCAGCAATATTAGGCTCACGAAAATGATAGCAAGAAGTCCGTGTAAAATGGTCGTTTTTTGGACCTGCGATTAGTTCTTTAAGTGTATATAAATGAAAGAAATTTCGATAAAAGAATTTCTCCGTTCTGTATTTTAAAATGTATAAATGTTCAGAAAAATCGTCATATTCACGTGTTAAAATTATTCCTTTGCAGATTTGATTTTGTACTTGTTTGGCGGGTCTACCTTACACAATATGAGGACCAAAGCCCTATCCCAAACAATATCTCCAAGCGATTTCTGCGTGTCATGGTCTTTTTTTGTTACGGCTGATTTTCTTTCTGTACATAAAGTGTATATATTTTCATAAAAAGTCATCTTTTTGAGCACACTTATCTGATGCCGTTCCGGATTCGATTTTCAGGTACAATGTTGTTTGGAGGGCTTTGTTTGCACAATATGAGGACTAAAGTCTTAACCCAAGCAGAATATCATATCCGGGGGATTTTCGTGTGGTTTGGTCGTTTTTTGTACCGTCTTTTTTCTGTATATAAAGTATATTAATTTTCGTTATAGAAATCTTTTTCCCGAGCAAACATTAAAAACGCTACTTGTCTGATTCCATTGCGGATTCGATTTTGTACATGTTTGGAGGTCTTCTGTGCACAATATGAGCACCAAAACCCTATCCCAAACAATATGTCCGGGCGATTTTCGCGTTGCATTGTCGTTTTATTGTGCGGTCATAAAACTTTAGCAATACACAGAAAAGGTGCAATAGAGTTCTTTTTAAAAATCTCAATTGATAAAACAGGAGATTATTCTATTTAATCAAACTTAGCCTACCTTCACTTTTGAATGGTCTGATGGCATAATTTATTTCATGGTTCATCACAGTATACCAAATCCTAAACTCCTTGCATCCAATACACTCATTATTTTCCGGTTTGAATGAGCTAACGATGCAGCTGCGTTGCGTAAATTAAAAATCTTGTTGCATTCATACTGGTCATGAACGATAACTGAGAAAAGAATCTTGCTTGGCTTGCAGATAAGTGGTGGACGTATGAAGTCGTATTTCTTCCAGTGAACAATGGTCGACGTTATTATTTGTACAACAAAGAAAATCGAGATTAGTATCGAAATAATTAAATGATATTTCATTTTATCAAATTAGTTTTCGTGGAAAAAAATATAACTGTTATAACCAAGTCAAGAAACATTGGCACTGCTGAATTTCAACAACTGAACTTTTTATTATTAATTTATCTATTTGATGGTTAATTTCAAATACAAAATTGTAAATAATATATTAAATTTTGTCTTTGAGGGTTAAATTTCAAAGACAGAAGATTGTTAATAATGTATATAACACTTAATGGTCTTTTGTTTGAAGTGTGTACACTGATTCAACATAGAAGAGGCCACTGCGGTTTACAACGTCTAAGTCAGTTTCTGTTTACCTTGTAAATTTGGTTGTTAATAAACATCATTGACTATACTGACATGGATGACAAAACAATTTTTCTTTCCTTTTAAATTGTGCAGCGACAACTCTAATTTTATAATTGAAAGACCAAATTGAAATGGACATTTTAAGCAGGCTTCGATTCTTATACTAGTAACAGTATCAGATATTTGAAAATATACAAATTTTACTTGACGGTATAAATTCTTTGTGTCATTTGACGTCTAGTTGTATCAATTTTTTTCGCTGGCTTCCTGTTACTGATATTTTGAGATTAATTTTTCAATTATTCATTTTAAAATCTTATTTCTGATCACAATTTTAAATACCTTTGTATATCAAAAAAGAATTGTTCAGAATACTTCATTTGAAAACTCTAATCACTTGTCCAAATACGATTAAGTGGCAGACTTGATATGTAAGACTTGATGTTACTTCATATATAACTACGGGTTTGATTTATGTTGATTTTACGTTATAGATGTACATTAAGTGGTAATCCCTCTAAAGAAATACAAACAACAATATTATACAGCATATATGATGCTTTATCCAGGAAGTCGTTGACAAATCAAAAAGTTATCTTAACAATTTTGGTAAATTACCAAAATTATAACATCTTAAAAAAGTAATCAATGTACGAGCATCTGACAATGACTTATCTAACGTTATCTCTTTCTCTGTCGTCGCAATAATAAAAACCAAGAAAAAAATGAGCCAATAAACGAGCATGCTCTAGACAGACAGTGAGTGCGGGAAAAAATAAAGCACTATGCATGTATTGGTATACAATTTAACTCTGACACGTTTTCAATAGTTCCGTCTCCAGACTATGATACAATTTATTATATAAGCATTATTAATCGAAAATATGTCTTATAATACTGTGTTGACAATGTCCCTTAAACGCAAATATATACAACACTTTCAATTGATTCATAACAGCTTTATAGGTAAAACATAAAAGGTTTGTTATAAATTGCTAATATAGTATTTGTTATGATGACTTCTATTTAACGTGTACTAAACGAACAGTCAAGTCGAGTCTGCATTTTTCAACATTCTTTTTTGTCTCATTGCTACCAGCGGATTTCTTTTCCTTTCTCAGATCTTTTACACGTCTGTCGTATGAAAAAGTAAACATTGATTAAAACAAATCAATACTTACAAACCAATACTTGCAATAGTAAAACAACAAATATGTGAAGGATGAGAAGGAAAATAGAAAAAAAGCTATTAAACGAATTATTTGCTACTAACGGATTTAAACAGCATGAAGGGTGTATCTCATACACCAGGAATAATAAACGTGTATCAATTAAAGACAGCAGCAAGTGCGATGAACTAATTTACTGTATTTAATGAATGAAGTAGAGAAAATAGGAATCCTAAAATAGGTCCAATACGGCAGAATAAAAACTGTTGCAGGCTCGGTTTGATTGATCGTGTTCACTGACGGTACTGTCAAGTGCAAACTACTGCCCACGCCCCCTAGTACTGGCTTAAGCTGAATTCAACATTTAGACATGAAAATTGTGAAATTTTGAATTTAGAAACAATCGCAGATGTGTTCGTGAGACGATAATCATGGGAACTTCAATGTGACACTTTCTTGCCATCCATGGAAAGCGGCGTACGGTCCCAAAGTAAAAGAAAGCGTGTGCCCAGAACAAAAGAAAAATGGCGTAACTAAACATAATGGAATTTCGTAGGGAATTAGATGTTATGAAGCCTGCACATCACAGATAAGACATCAAAAGACAAATTTCAAATGCAGGCAAAATATCCTGAGGGTGATTCAATATTATTTAAGTAGGAATATTGGAACAAACCGTCAAGATTAATGCCGAAAAGTAAAAACTAAAAAGTATCATAAACACTAGCCTCGGATATAGGCGTTGATAGCTTTTGCTTATTTATAACATTTTTTTTCTTTATTCATAACATATGCACTATTCCGTATTCGTTTGTCGTTTTGCTGGTCAATTTGCCAAACAGAAACATGAAAAAAAATCGAAAGCCTGGAACCAAGGCTACAGAAACACAACAATAATGTCTTACTGAAAGATCTTCAAGGATCAGAAATATAAAATATCTGATTGAATGTACGGGGCGACTTTTTACGGCCTCCACATGGCACTAACAGCGCTAATGTGGCGATAGAACAGAGAAAACCATGTTATTACCCTGTACTTCCTTGAGATAAATAAAGTTCTCTAGCTGATTATTTGCAGCCTGCGGAAGTTTTTAAATTGTGCTTCAGTTTTCAAAGATACAGAATGGCTTTGGAATAGTTTAATACAGGTGCACCATTAAATGCATTGACAACAAAACTTAGCCAAAATCTGTAACTAGTCTTCAATGTATCCTAGTATTCCTTTACTCCGTAATGAAATGGTTGAAATGACGAGTACAGACGTATCTTACATGCGCTAGTTTAAATGCAATTTTGACCATTCGGGTTTTTTGCGTCTTCTTATATTATATTACAGCTGGAGATAGCGTAGAACATCACCTTTATTCTTTAATTTATGATGTAATAATCACATAAATTCTCTTTAATTTATCAAGTTTGGCACTTATTCTGTTCTGTCTTCACATTCTCATAATGATCTCGAGATTGTCTCTGTTCTCAGGACAGATATACCAATTAATTTACTGACTAAAAACATTAAAGATTTCTGTGTGAACATGCCGATAATAGAATAGCTTGCAGAATTACAACTTCTGAGAACAGTTGAAAAATATTTAGTCAAATAGAAAAAATAGATCATTTTGCAGTACAGGTCAAGTGTAATTCAATATATTAAAATATCTAATGATCATTTTCTTTCTAAAGCTCGTTTGTATGTAGAAAGAAATAAAAAACTGAGTATGCCGGTTTTACCTGGTTATGTTAGTAATAGCATTGCCCTGCCAACTTTTGCACGATAAAATGCATCACATCGCTGTTGTTTTTATTTGAAACAAAAGCATCATGTTTGATGTAACGAGTATGCACTTAAGCATAGGTATTTCCTACGGAAAGGTGTCTGCATGCATTGCATTGTCAAAACAGCTTAATTATCAACATATCAAAGCACACCTGTTTGAATTATTTCAGAGAAAGAAATAATTAGATGCCATATTTTGTTAACTGAATTTTAAGAACTTAAATACTTAAATGAAAAATGTTCTGAAAGCGTTCAAGAAGAAAGTCAAGACTATTTTTAAATAAGGTTTGAACGTTCATCTCAATTAAAAGATAGAAATCTTTAACCAGAAGAAAAGTGTAAAGTTGGCGGGGAGGAATAGACCTTGTTGAAAATTCATGAATTAAAATTTATGTTGTATATTTTACTTATCTGTTCTACCTTTTCATTTTACATAATAAACGTATAGATAAGAGACACTGAGATCATTGCAATTTTAATGTCTGATTATTTAATATTACCTATGTTATTATATAGTATACGGGCTCTTTCAATGAAATTGGCAATAGAAAGTAACGCTTTTTTCCCTTAATTAATATTGGCCAATTATTTTCTTTTTTTCTTGCGTACTTGTAAATGCATGCATTGTACTACATTGGATAATTTTGAATACATTTGGAAACTGAATTTTTTTTAGCCAATGATTAGGTGACCTAGTATATGGCCTCACATTGAATAGTAAAATATAATATTAAGAAATCTATATATTGCATTATTTTATGGAGTATAAGATAAGAATATGTCGCTTTATGAAAGATTTGTGATAAAAATGTTCTTCTCTTCGACCCTTAAATGTGATAAAACATTTATAGTATTTTTCGTAGCAGCATATAGAGACCTTAACACAAAACTGTAAAGATTTTATCAAACTTATATCCTCTCAACAACAAATTCATTTATATCATAGCATATTTCTATTTTCTCTATCACATTTCATAATACGCGGGAAAGCTTCCTATTTACACACAGATACGAGTGGCAAAACATCTTCATTATGCGTTAGATGAAAAGAGACTCAAGTTGATTAGTTAGCGAAATGATATTGTTATACTATTCTCAGATTTAAAAACAACAAAACATAAGTTATCTAAATTATGATTTGATAGATACTAAATTTGTTTAAGATGTCAAAATGTGTGTTATTGATGAAGATACTTCTTGTAATTGATGAGGCAATAAATCTTCATTTTTTGTCTAGTAAGCACTTCAGATATAAATGGAATGTAAAAAAAATCTACTGTACTATTCAAGTGTAGCAGTTTGGTTGTATTCATTTACATTGTAGTATTTATCATTGTTTAAGTGTGTTTGTATTTGTATTTGCTTTTTCTTATCACTGAATTAAATATTGCCTTTCTCGATTCCATAGACTCTCTACTGGCCTTTCTCGATTCCATAGACTCTCTACTGGCCTTTCTCGATTCCATAGACTCTCTACTGGCCTTTCTCGGTTCCATAGACTCTCAACTGCGTTTGTTTGATTGGGTTTTACGCCACACCGACACAGTATACGTCATATGGCGACGTTCCAGCTTTACTGGGGGAGGAAGACTTCAAGTGCCCCTCTGGTCATTATATCAGGCACGAACTAGCACCTGAGTATAACCGCCGACGTTCCGTAAGCTAGCTGGATAGCTTCCTACTACGTTTAATACACTTGTTAATACATGTATGATGTAACGTTTCAATTGCAATGACGACACAACATGTTGTCATTTCAATGAATTAAGATATTATGTTGCTTTAATGTGATAAGGATAAAACACAAATTCATGTATAAGGAGATCAAGTGATGAAGAAATTGAATTTATATTAGTTCGATTGTGTTGGAAGCTATAAGCTTATTGAAACACTTTCGAATCCGTTCATGGAACTAACAAGTATTTAGCAATGAGTGTAAAGATCCCTGCTCAAGGAACAACGGTTTGCCTCAGATGGGGTTTGAACCAACATGGTCAGGAATCCTTATATTATTAGTCTGATGCGTTAAACATTCTGCCTTGACGAAACTTACTCGCTTGCTTCAATGGGTTTATGAAAAAAAAATTGTGCATATTGATCATGGTAAACCTACATTCCAAACATAAATATTTCATTTAGCCTGCATCATAAAAATACTGCAAATTATAAATAAACCTGCACACTAGGGATGAACGCAATTAGCCAATTATTTCTAATGCAAAGCAGACAGTTAGTAAACTAGCCACGCCTTACACTGTTAATT